CTGGATGATTATTTTCTCAGTTCAAGGTAATTGTATTTGAATCTGCTTAAGGAGCCCATTCTTATTTATTCCACAGAAAAATATTGTCAGGATAACAATTTTTATTTGCTTTGCAGGGTGGTTATATGTCATATGCATTATTAGCAAGAGAGGAAATTTGTTCCTTATTTTATGAGCTCTGCTTCTCTTGGGGTCAGACACAATGGGTGCTGTGTCCACAGACCTCTACTGTTCAAGCAAGGTTTATATCAATGAACAAAGAATATTGGTTTTTGTCAAAGTCTTTTTAAGCATCTAGTGAGATGATCATGTGATTTTTTTTTCACTTTGTTTATATGGTGGATTACATTGATGAATTTTCTTATGTTGAACCATCCCTGCAGCCCTGGAATGAAGCCTACTTGATCATGGTAGATGATTTTTTTTATGTGTTCTTGGATTAGATTTGCCAGTATTTTATTTAGTATTTTTGCATCAGTGTTCATGAGGGATATTGGTCTGTAGTTCTCTTTATTAGGTGTGCCTTTGTGTGGCTTGGGTACCAAGGTAATTGTAGCCTCATAAAAAGAGTTTAGAAATGACTCTTCTGCTTCTATTGTATGGAGTATTTGAGGAGAATTGGTATTAGCTGTTCTTTGAATTTCTGGTAGAATTCTGCACTGAAATCATCTGGCCCTGAGCTTGTTTTTCTATGCTTGGAAGACTTTCATGACTGCTTCTATTTCATTAGGGGTTATAGGTCTATTTAAGTTGCTTATCTGATCTTGATTTAATTTTGGTAAGTGACATCTATCTGGAAAATTGTCCATTTCCTTTAGATTTTCTAATTTTCCAAGTATGACCTGATGATTCTGTGGATTTCATCAGTGTCCATTGTTTATGCATATTGATGCATATTAATTGTACATAACATGGGGTTAATGTAATCATTGGATATGAGTATAAATTAGTATTGATCATTTTGAGGTTCCTTTTTGTCCATATATTTAAAATTCTTCTTAGTTCACTTAAATGTACTCAATATTCATAAAAGGGTACTCCATTACTAGTTAAATATAAACAAGGCCAAACTAAAATCATGAGACTTACTATCTAAACTAATTATCAAACTATGCTAAGAGTAAAAAAAAACAGATTTATATCACATATTGTTTATGATAATCAGACTTGGTTTTAACATAGTGTTGAGTTAAGGTTTCATTTCTCAATTTTAGAAAAATTGTCGTTTGTTCAGAGAATTAAGAAATATACAAAGCCAGTATATGGAGACAGAAAGGGAGAGATAGAGGGAAAGGAGGAGAGGGAGATAAAAAGGGATATATATATATATATATATAGAGAGAGAGAGAGAGAGTAGGGAACAGGAATAGAGGAAAGTCAGAAGGGAATGAGCAAGGGATGGGGAAAAAAGGGAAGGAGAAATATTCAGGAAAGCTACAGAAGGAAGTGTGAGAGGGATGGTATGAGCAGGAAGGAGAAATAAATCACATTTCTTGATTGACATGTTTTCTACTGAACATTGCTGAATATCAATGTTATTATTTGGGACATTGCAAGTATTTACTAATTTTGCCTCACTTGCTGATAGGCTGTGAAGTGAATATACTTTGCCAATGTCACTTCAATAACCACATTCATCATTTGGAATTTTCTGATATCCATCAGATACAGATTGTGTTTGGAATGTTCTTCTAATGATCGACCTGCCAGCCATAATGAGCAACTTCCTTTTTTACAGCAACATTATCTGCAACTCTATATACTCTGCAGCTAAGAAAATATACTAGTAATTTAATTCTAAGGAAAATATGACCATGTTCATTTTTCCAAATTCCAGTATACTTTCTGGAACCTGAAAAATCTCATTTAAAAAGACAGCAATTATTGTAACAATAATTATCTTAAGATGTGGGTTCTTATTAAGGCCATCAAGAAAGATTTGTCATTTGGGAATACCAGTGTGTAACCAAGGGATTTCGAGAGGTCTGTTAAGAATATATTCATTATATATGGTTTCAAATGAATCCACACACAGTTAATAAAAACGAAAAATATTTTATATGTTGCTATTTGCTTTCTTAGGATGAGAAATGAAGACAGGTTAACTCAGAAATTTGAGTTTTATAACAACCTTAAAGACACAAGAATATGATATGATTTCAGGATTTAACAAAGAGAGCTATATGTTCTATTTTTCTTTCAAGTGCTAAACTGAGCATTTAGAGATGTGAAAAAAATTGCTTCCTTATATCAATCTGCTGGAAAATCTAAAGTATTAGTCTTATCAAGAAATGTGAAGATTCTGAATTTTTGTAAGGTACAAATTTCAAATTTCCATTGGTAAAATGTTAAAATATGCTCTCTAAAATAGATTTAAAAATATGGATATTTAGGAAATTGGGGAAGGTGTTAAAAGCAATGCAATTTAAATCTTTATATCTCATCTTTCCCTTCTTTCTCTATTTCCTCAGCCTGAGTATTGTAATAGCTTGGTAAGTATCCAGAATTTCAGTCCTCTACCTCATATTTTTCCTCTGTATACAGATAGATTTTATGTAAATATTCAAAATAGGATTCATTTCATGTTGCATTAGAGATGCATTTTCCTAAATTCCATCATTAGGGCACATTGTCCTTTATACTTGTCCCATCTACCTGGCCTCAATACAGCTGATCTTTAATATTGGCAATACTAGTACCCAGGGGAACAAGAGATGTGTTTGGGAGTCAACCAAGAGGCTAGTCTATTCCAGAAGCCTTTCCCACATGCTTCCCATTGGGATGGTAATTAATCTATTAGGTAGCCTTTCACTACTACCAACAGAAGTATTGTGTCTTTATAAAGCAACCTCAACTGGTGATTTATGGGGGGAGGATAGATAGATAGATAGATAGATAGATAGATAGATAGATAGATAGATAGATAGATTTGTCTAATGTTATTTTATTAAAGAATAGGCTTATCTAAATAATTTTGAACTAGTAATTAATAATGTAATTTGGACCCATACAGCATTTGACTTGTATCATGACATACCATATAATATTCAAAAGTGAATTTCAAACAATATGACTTTATATAAAAAATACTCAAGGAAATGAGAAAATATTTGGCTCAAATTTCTTGAAAGGAGTCCTATATCATAAGGATCCTGGATTTTGAATATTATAGCACATTAGGAATATCTGAATTACACCAAAATAAAAAATTCAGACATATTAGTGAAATGAAAGGAAAGGAATTTAACAAATATAGCTGTATTGGGTATCTTCTACTGGCAAGAACTCCAAGAAGAGGATACCCTTTGTAGTGATTTTAGGTAAAGCAGCATCTAAATCTGGGTTATTTTCTTAAGATTTGTTGATGAAATTTGTTAGGAAAGAGCTGACAAAAGCATTAGTATATTATTCAAATTTTTGTTGTTCAAACACATAGTCATCTAATACAAATACTAGTTTGTGTCAATAGGATTAAATAAAACCATTACATTTTATCTTTTGTGTATTTATGTTTCTGTATTTTCTTTTGTTTATGCATATTAATGCATAGTAATTGAATATTATATAATGTAATACATTTTGATACATGTGTAATATTGAGATATATCTTTAAACTATCCATCATGTCTCTGTTGTTCAAACATTCAGAATCTTTCTTACAGCCTACTGATAGACTCGATATTCATAAAAGAATAATGTACTAATACCATAATGGAAACAAGACTTTCCTGAATCCATGTAAAGTATTTCCTACAAAAATTATAACTATAGACTTCAAATGATAAGACTGATTTATATCAAATCTTGTTTATGCTACAAAGAAGACTTAAGGTTCTCTAACTGAATCATAAAAAAACATAGTTTGTATATGGAAAATTTCAAGGACAATGTAAGAATGAAAAGGAAGACAGCGAATGAAGGAGGAAGAAAACCAGAGAGAAGAGAGGAAGGAGTGGAGAAAGATGGAGATGTATGTAAATACAGAGAGAAAGGGGAGGGAGAGGACAAGGGCACGAGAAGGGAAAAAGAAAGAGAAATTGTTGGAAATGTATCTGAACTTATGTTTAGTTCCTTGAATTCTTTTCTACTGAGAGATTCTGTACATAATTGTTATTGCTTATGACAGCCCCAGTATTTATTCATTTTTCCTTTCATGCTGACAGGGACTGAAAAGATTCAAGTATGCCCAATATCACTGCAATAAGTGGATTCCACCTCATGGGTTTCTCTAATGTTCAGAATCTACAGACTTTATGTGGAATGCTCTTCCTAGTGATGTACATGGCAGCCCTAATAAGTAACCTGATCATCATCACTCTCACAAGCCTTGATTTGCAGCTTCAAACACCCATGTACTTCTTCCTGAAGAATTTGTCACTTTTGGATATTTTCTTTGTGTCAGTTCCTATCCCAAATTTCATTGTCAATAGCCTAACTCACAACAATTCCATTTCCATTTTTGCTTGTGCCCTACAGGTATTTTTAATGACTTCCTTTGCAGGAGGGGAATTATTTGTCCTGACTGCCATGTCTTATGACCGCTATGTTGCCATTTGCCATCCCCTGCATTATGATGTTATCATGAATAGCAGTGCATGTATGCTGATGGTGGGTGTTTCATGGGCTACTGGGGTACTTTTTGGAGCCCTATATACAGGTGGCACATTTTCCATGCCTTTCTGTGGCTCTAATGTGATCCCACAGTTTTTCTGTGATATTCCATCATTGCTAAGGATTTCATGCTCCAAAATGCTTTTGTTCATTTATACAAGTCTTGGAATTGGTGTGTGTCTAGGCATGTCTTGCTTTATATGTGTGGTGATCTCTTACTTTTACATTTTCTCCACTGTTTTAAAGATTCCTACCACTAAAGGTCAGTCCAAAGCATTTGCCACATGCATTCCCCACCTCACTGTTTTCACTGTTTTCATTGCTACTGCTTGCTTTGTCTATGTGAAGCCTTCCTCTAATGTAGCATCAATCTCAGACTGGCTCTTTTCTGTGCTCTACACTGTGTTACCACCAGCAATTAATCCTGTGATCTACAGTCTGAGGAACAATGATGTCAAGTGTGCTCTGAGGAGGTTGCCACAAAATCTATTCTTAAGAGGTTCACTTCATTTAACACTTCAAAGAATCTGTCAGTGGTATAGTGCCTCACAAGCTACAAACAAGATTTGTAATTTTTGACTTTAGAAAGACAAGTATAGATAATTGTATTTCCCCAAGTAAATAAACACTCAGAGCAGGGCTGATATATATATGGTCAGAAAATATGATGAAGCTGCTCTCATTTGCAAAATATAAATTTCAGAAAATATTGATCATTTTTATAATTTCTTATCTGATGCATTTACTAAATACTAAATAAATAGATAGATGACATATAGATAAAAATTAGATGGGGAAATCATGGGAGCAATAAAGGTAAATCCACATATGTTTCTTCTGCCAATCTGTTAGGTAGTAATAAAAATGGAAGGGAAACTTATCTAGAGGTGCCAGAGCATTCTGGAGAGTTGACCTTATCTTTAAAGCAGTACCAAATGCTTACAGCAAAGACAAACCTGGTGAGAGATTATATGAGCCAAGTTATATAATATAAATTGTGGCCACTCAGGTTGAGTGTTATCAGAAATACAGTGGAGGGGTGGAAATTTGTGTGGCTCCTTTTCTGCAATTTTCCTCAGTACAAACATTACTTACAGGTGAGAGAAGGCAAGCTCATTTGTCTAATAAATTAAATAGCCTACACTAGAGTTAGAGGCTGAAAAAATACAAACAAGACCATCTCAATATTACAGAAATGTTGAACAGCTGCAGAGATGAGGGAACTCTTACTATCCTTGGTACCTGGTTGATGCTCTACGATTTTTAAAACAATGTGAACATCATGCTGCAGGACTGAATTATTGGTGAGTTGTCACCAATTTTATTAATAGGACCTTTTGTGATGTAGCTGACACTGTCTTCTCCAGGCTACTATAAGTAAGTTACCCAGATTAACTCATTGGTTTACCATGTTGCACTTTGATGGAAATACTGTTGTATATCTTTTGATCTGTATATGTTGAGAGAAGGTATTGTTTCCCCCAGAGGAATAATTACCACAAAAATTTTCCATATGTGTCTATTAGCCTTCCTGTAGGCCAGAAAATCCTTACCTGTAGCTATGTGATGGTGAATTTTCCATCACTGTATGGAAGGAAGTTATGGAACCAACTAAAATTGAAGAAGAAATCATTTTTTCATGAATTATTTCCCTTGGTAATATTACAATGTCTTCAAGTACAAAATATTTTCTTTATGATGTATGAAATGTATTTAGATAGTCTATACTTTATTAGGATAATAATGTCTTTTATTTATAATTGAGTCTTCATTTCCTGAAAAGATCCAATATTTGGAATATATGACTTCTTTCAATATTAAAAATATTTTTATTAAATTTATTTTTTATTTCATTTTACATTACAAACAATTTTCCTTCCCAACCCTCCTCCTGCCACCCTTTTTCCTTCCCCTGGCCTATGCCCCATCACTTCTCCCAATAGTTAAGGGCTATCGTGGGTAGTTCACAAAGTTCGGCATGTTAAGTTGAGGCAGTACCAAGCCTCTCCCCGCTGTGTTAAGGCTAAACATGGCATCCCCTCCTGCAAGTTCTCCTCACCACTCCTCATATTGAGAGATTCTGGTCCTATTGCCAGGGGCCCCTCAGATAATCCAAGCTTCACAACTGTCTCTAGCACATAGAGAACATAGTTTGGTCCCATGGAGGCGCCACAGCTGTTGGTCCAGAGTTCATGATTTTCCATGAACTTGGTTTCCATGAGTTGTCTCTGTAGAGTTCTCCATGATATTGACCTCACTTGTTCATATATTCACTCCTCCCTCTCTTCAACTTGATTCCTGGGGCTGAACTTGGTGCTTGGTTGTGGATCTTTGCATCTAGTTCCATCAATTACTGTATGAAGGCTCTATAATGACAGTTGGGAGATTCACCAATCTTCTTACAGGGGAAGGCCAGTTCGGAAACCCTCTGTATTATAGGTACTCTTACAGGCTAGTTCTGGAACCTTCTCTATTATGGTCACTCTGATAAAGAGTTACCAGACTTAGAGTCAAGAATTGTAAAAATGTCCATCTCCCTTACCCTATTTGGTCTTAGTCTTACATATACTGAAACAAATAACTTACCTCTATCATATAAGTAAAAACCAAAGGGAATCTCCATTCTCGGGTGACTTTGTCATCTCCAAAACCACTGTCAATAGCAAATACTATGAGTGATGTGCAATTGACTTGATGATAAACATGATCTTATAAGGAAATGGCTGTACTATGTTTGACTCTATTTAAACTATCAGCATGATCTTATAAGGAAATGGCTGTACTATGTTTGACTCTATTTAAACTATTGACTGTATTTAAACTATCAGATGTACATAATTTTGTTTGATTGAACCTCAATGTAATCTCAAGACCTTGTTTAAAATAAAACAGGAGACAAATTAGGCATATCACACTAGAAATAGCCATTCATATAGGCAACCACAAACAAATCATTTTACCTTCCCTGTTATGGTTTTCACAAAATCATCCTCAATGCTGTGTGGTATTCAGATCTCAAATATTTTCCTTTCAAATGAAATTTTGCTTATTTGACTTTTGTGTCTGGTTATTATTTAGTTCATTGATGAGGGCGAGAACGTAGAAAGAAAGTAGTCTGATATTCCATCCAAAACTCTCCCACAATGTCTATGGTCTCAAGTAATATACTTGCTGCCACATTACTAAGAAGAATTCCTGAACAAACATACTTGAAAGTTTATATACTAGATCAAAGTCCTGGCAATCAACTTCTTTATTTTTGTTTTTATCTTTTACTTTTTTGTGTGCCACTTCTTGCTACATTTTATGGTTTTTTTCACTAAGTTTAAACTCAAATAACATTTACTGCAAGCACAATACAGGAGTACTAGAAACCATTGCCTTATACATCTCTTATTGATACAATACAGTAGGATGTAGAGTTTGTCCAGAAAGCATTAACAATAGCATAACAAAAGTAACCAAACAAACAAACAAATGATTCAGAAGGACAGTAAATCCTCTTAGCTATGGGTTATATATAACAAAATAAAATTCCTGTATAAAAGTGTTCATCATCTCAAACTCAAAGAGATATGAATGTTTCACACACATTAATTGTGAGTCTGTTATGTTTACAAGAAAAATAAAATTTTAAATGGAAATTGGAATTTTTGAAACACAGGTATCTAACTGAAGTGTCAGAAATTAAGACCTCAAGGTATTAATAAAAACCATGATTGAAATTATTTGCAGTAGCTTTAACCAAACAAAAGAAAAAGTATTTGTGACAGAAAAAAATATTTCTCTCAAAATGGCTCAAGGACCTTAATGCAAGATGCAAAACTGTAAAACTGCCAGAGGAAATACTTCAGTATATAGGCATGGGAAAGATATCTTTAATTCGGATTTGTTTTTCACCCTTATTTTAACTTCCTATAATTTTATATGTGAATACTACATTTATACATTTTCAATAAACCCTCTCCTCCCATCAACTCCTGATATTCGTTCCCATCACTTACACTCAAATTGCTGAACTCTTTGTAAAACTTATTGTTAAATAAGCACACATATATACGGAACCATCAGTACCAACACCATTACTAATATTACCACAAAGAACAATGCACTGGACTTTTTTTCCACTGTAGAATTATGGAAAATCCAAAGCAGTTTCTCTAATTGATTTATATTTACTGGTTTGATGCATATGTTAAATTAATGAATAAATATTAAATACATGAGATGAGACTATGTTATACAAGAAGATACAACATGTGACTTTTTCTACTCAAAATATAATAAATAAATGGTAAGTGAATAAAAGGAAACATCTTCTTGACACAACAAGCAGTTGCATACATGAAAAATACACACACCTGTGCCAAGCCATCAAACCAAATCATAGCATTCAAAGGGAGTTGAACATAAATTTTACATTGAACAAAAATAATACTTAAAGCTGAGAAAATTCTACTGATTTAGAAAAAAATCATTACCTTAGATTAAACTATGGAGACTTTCTGACACTTAGTATAAGTTTAGTAACATGTAACACACTCCAACCATCTCCTTTTTTTTCCTTCCAGGAGTCTAACATTAGGAAAAATATATGAAAATTCAAAGAACTAACAGAATAGTAGGAATAGAGCAGTGGTAATTAGTATTAAATACACCATTGAGTTCTCTAAGTTTTTAGTACTGCCATGAACAATGCACATAAGGCTCCAACCTTTATTAATTTCAAGATCTAACTGGAAATGTGCATGTTTTGAAGGGCATGTTAATAAATCTATGTTCCTATAACTTTTATTTATTTATTCTGTATTTAGAATTTTGTTTTTTTAGAATTATGAGGTTCTTACAATGTCTTTTGATTATTGCTATGGAGTGCAGAAATATGCAATGGAAGTTTAGCTGACAAATCATGAAGCTTACCCACCACTATCACACATTCTGATGGAGGAGGCCCACATGAAAAGCTGTGGGAGTATTTACTTTGTGAGTAGTCACTTCCCTTACTGTAAATACCATATGAAGCCATGACATTCCCTTTCTATGGTGGGAATCATACCCCAAAATCTAGTAGTGCATTAATCCTCTACTATACATTGTTATATTGGATGACGCCCACCCCCCAAGCAATGCCTGTTTCTGACAAAAATAATCATAGTTAATACCCTTACTGTCAATGTAATCTTTGTATAAACTTAGAAGTCTACCCCCTGCAGTAATCTTCTTTTATAGACAGCTGGTCCGTGTTAGTTTCCAGGAAAAAGACCTGTATCATGACATTCACAGATGTCCATGGACAAGAATTATATTATGTCTAAAGTGTTTACACCATAACTCTCAGAGAAATGGAGAACAAGGTTGTCCTGGATTCTCTGTGTCAGCAGATAGGAAAGAGGTGACCCATGTTAACCTCACATTAACCTTAAAGCATGCCTGTTTTCCACTTGCCAGTCTACTAACAATAGATCTGTGTATTAAAGTTGTCATTGAGTACTGTGCCCTCTCTGTCTGGTCTCAGTTTTGCTCCTAAGGCTCAGGGCAATGCCTCTGCATTTAATACCTTAGCTTAGGAATGTGTGTCT